AATAAAAACATCTACAATCAACAATTACTTCAAATAAAATGAACAAAAATAAGCATGCAAAATAAAAATTAATTCAAATTAACTACAACAAAACATGCAAAATAAAAAATTAATTTGAATAAAATGAACTTAATTAACCAGATACAGCATGCAAGATAAAAGAACTATTTCAACTATGGGGTCATCTTTGTCTTCTCCAACGTCGATCTGAAACAGATACGGTGGTAATAGATTAATAATGAGCAATTAAAATTAACTGTATCAAGTTTCTCACCTTAATTAACTGCAGACTGCAACTGTTTGCAGGTGTGAAGAGCAAACTAAATCCAGGAGAAGCACCACAGCAGAAATTTTGTTGTTCCATTTGAAATCAAATAGATCCTTAGTTGCTCCCACTAATCGGTTGAAAATCAACTGCATAGTGTGGAGAAGTGAAGATGAAAATATCAAATCAGGAACAAAGTCCAGAAAAGACCACACCCATGTAGACGGTTGTTCGAGTAGCGCCAAATTGAACTCATTTGTTGGGCAATCTGCAGAAAGGGCAAAAAAATATATTAATTACACTATTAGTTAAGGAAGGAACTAAACACTCCTAAAAATACACAACAAAATGCAAGTAAAATAGCTGAATTATAATAAAATGGCGACAACTGTCATTTTACATTACAACCATGGATCATGACATAAATAAAGGCAAACAATCATAGATGCACGATGTCAAGGTTAATTGGAACTGTGAACAATAGATAATTGGTAAAACAAATAACCCATAAGATCAATATAGAGCAACTAATATTATAAATTCTCACCTTAATTAACTGCAGAAAGTAGCTTCATAAGGTTCACAGGTAGAATGAACAAGCCAAATCCAGAAGGAATACCATTGCAGACAAGTTGTTGTTTTAGTCATTTCCAAATTAAGTTTCAAATGCCTCGCCCTTTCAGGTTCAAAATTATGTTGCAATAGTAAGACGTCAAAAGCATCGGCTCTTTGAGTACCATCAGAATTAGCTGTAATTTCTTCTCACTCGGACAAACTATAGGAACGGGCAAGAAAACGTGGTTAATTACAACTTTTAAAGCAAGTAAATCAGTAATATTTTAATGTGGCAAGTTAGAAGCTAACTTTGGCACTAATGAAAAAGTCAGTTCCACATTTTGCTCCTGCTAAAACGTTATTTAAAAGTTGTTTGATGAAAATAAGTTACAAATGCCTAAGAAATTGAAGTTTCTGGGACCAGGATTAATATTTTTAATTAATATGGTTTACTTACCAGTTCATTCGTCATAAATCCTTCCTTCAGCAATGCCACACTGTATTCGTTCCCAATCGAAAAAAGGCACTTTTGTGCTTCTTTTTAGGACAGCTACTCACTGAACCGAATGAACACTGACACAACCAAGGCACTGTAAATTAATGTGCTATCCAGGTTTTTTTTAATGTTCCTGTGAAATGAAATCTTATGAGTATTCAGATATAATTAATTTAGCCTCAGTAAGTAATGTGCATGAGACAATACTAGTTAATATCAAATAAATATACTAATTATGCCACGTATGCTCACCGTAATTAATTAGATCCTCCAAAATGAAACGAACCATGGCAGACAACTTGCTTTTTCATTCTTATTTATCATCAATCTGTAAAAATAGAGAAGAAAAACGAATAAACTAAATTATTAAACAATTAAAACATAAAATACAACGAAAAGACGCACCGAAAAGCAAATAAAATAGCAAAATTTTCAAAATGGCGACGTAGCGTCCCTTTTAATAAAAGATGGCAAGATGGACAAAAACGTAGAACATCGCAAAATGTAATAAATTCATAGATTCATAAATAATTGTCAATTTATGCTGCGGATATATAGATAACTATGAATGGAACACCTATAGAGCGTAGATCAAAAAGCATAGACATATAATAATGGACGTGTCTTGACCGCATGTCCTTGTAATAATCTCTTGGCTGGAAAAGAGTGAGGGAGATGGCGTATGGTTTCGGACTAGTGCTATTTCTTTCATGACACGCTCACACACTATCGTGAGAGAGATGAATATTATCCGAAACTTCGTTCCTTCTCTTTCTTTTCTTGTAGCACAATTCTGACCGCAAAGGCATGTCCATTAGTAAACGTCGATGTGAAAAAGCAAGTCTGTTCTTACTATAAATATTCTTCCTCACAGTACCTACCTACACATTTTTAGGTAAAAAGAGCTTGCAATTAATTGTAGTTGCGCCAATTAAAGAAACTAATCATTTAATTAGATGTTAAAGACGACAAACTGTAATTTTTAACAACTCAAATTGCTCTGTCAGTCATTACATTCCCTTCTCAGTTTTTTTTTTCAATAAATATTAAATAAAAAAGTCCAGTTTTTCCATTGACAATTACACTAATAGACTTTTGTGACTTTCGTCCATATGAATTTTATCTCATCTCAATCAAAATTATTATATTGTACCACATTAATGTTATTAGCCTTTCACTCTCTCCCTCCACATCACCAATTTGTGACAAACTTGACAACTCCCTTATGGCTTTGAATCAAATTTTGTTTTACATCATACCCTTAATTATAAAGTAAGAAACTAAGGCAAAAGAGGATGCATTTGGACAGGACCGATTTTGGAAAACGTACATTCTTTATAATGTAACTCTGTTATTGTCATTATTATTACTAATTGTTAATAAAAGTAACTTTTATTAATATGTAAGATATTCACAATGATCTTCAAATATAAACAAGCTTTTCTTTCACCTCTGCTCTTAAGTTTAAAAGATATGCACAGTTATCTTATTAATATAATAAAAGAATGAAACGAAATAATAAAAATAAAACGACCATAATTATTTTGAATTTCTTTGATTTCTTTGCAATAATATTAATCAATTATTTCAATTGAATTAAATAGATCAGATTATCCAACTTATTATTCTGCCCAAAGTTTTAACATTTTTCCCAATTATATTGCATTTTTCTAATTCAAGAATATAATAACATAATAAAGTTGATAATCTTAACGATTAAAGCAAAATTAATTTGCCTTAAACGAAGCACAATCTTTACTGAATAAATAAAATGTTCAAATCAAGCAAAACTGTTTATTATTAAAACGTTTATGAAGTACGATAACATTTCAACATTCTGTATTATTCACGTTCAGTAACTATGACGAAAATGTAGACAAAAAACAGAGATATTTATCATTAACGTTATTCGGCGAGCTTGCGTCGTTTCCAAGTGAAAATAGTTTTAAAATGTCTCAGAAGCATTTACAATTTACAGGGTGTGCTTGAAAATGAGTCGTACAGAAAGAATTTGCAATTACAAAATGTCACAATACAATTCAAAAACCAGATTAAACACCTTAATCGTTATAAATATGGGAAATTCTTTTACAAACCTGAGAAATTTGGACAAAAATTGACCGACACATTTTTGATTTGGCTGAAATTTTATTTACGAGTTATGAATTTTTGTTTCAATCATTTCTATTTCTCAAAATATTAATAAAAAAAAATTCCTCGAACACGTATCTTTTTTTTTTCAATATAAAACCCGTAAAGAAAATTTCAGCGAAACCGAAAATATATCGGTCAGATCAGTGTTCGGTTTGTAAAAGAATGTCCCATATGTGTTAAATGTACCTACTATATGTATAATTTTTTCAACCCCCAAAGAAAAAGACGACTATTGCTCCATCAGTCCATTTTTATAAAAACCTTGCAATTTTGTAGCTTTTAAAGAAATTCGTGAAACACAAAAATACAGGCAAATTCTACTCAAAATTATTCCACAAATGACCTAATTTTCTCCATTTCAAATGCCAAGATAAACAATTGACAAATAAAATCATTACATCATTATGTATATTAAAATCAATTGCCAAATGTATGACGTAGCATCACTTGAGAAAGGCTCAATTGTCAGGACAAGATTTGTATGAAAAATTTTTTTGGAGAATAAACGGGTAAAGTAACGGTAAAGTATGTATGTATACATATAAGTAGAAAAGTCCTGACTCACTGCCTCGTATCAATGTCCAAACAAAACCTTTCGAATTATATGCATAGCTGAAGTTTGCAAAAGATTTTTCTTTATGATGTATAAAAGAAATAAGGAAGGATATTTCGAAATTCAATACCTAAGAAGGTGAAAAGGGGTGACAAAGTCTGTATGAAACTTTTTTGTTTATGGTCAGATTTATTTGAAACATGGCCTTAATGCTCTTTGATATAAATATTCACCTATTGTTTCGGTATTTTAAAAAATCCAACCTCTGAAGGACTGAGAAGTGGTTGCAACATTTTAAAAACATCAGGCTTTGTATATGTACACCTACGTTTCGAAGTACCACGAAACAATTTGTAATTACTAATTAGGTATGTCAAAGATCATGCGAAAATACGAATTTTTATCGATTTCTTAAAAATATCCTTGAAATTGCGACAACCTAGCACAACGGTTCCGAAATTTTTCTTTTCTACGGACCCCTTTCTAATCCATCCCCCCCATCTCAATAAAAAAATAAACTGATAAGAGTTTTATGTCTAACAATAAGACCCACGACACCTCACCCTCACATAAACTCAGCGACAAGGGATGGGAAATTGGTACTGAATAGAAAAGGATCTGTCATCATGTCAACCAATTGATTAGGGGTATTTATACTAATGTAACCGATGTAACGCATTTTAAATTAAATTATTAATTACTTAACATTAATTCATACATACATCCAAAGGTCATTTGAATCATTTGATTCGAGTTTTTGTTTTAGAGAGGATGAATTGTTAATAACGATTAAATTCTCATTTTTAAGAAGATAAACATTCGTAACTCTTTTGTTCAGCACATTCAATGCAGAAAAAAAAATATTTTTTATCGTTTGACAAGATATTTTGTTTTTCACTGTAAACGTGTTGTTATGGTTACTCACTTTAAGAATTTGCTGATTACGTTGAGAGTTTATCGAATATATCGGCGTAATAAGCTAATTTATCGTCATGCATTGTAGTTCGACATGACTTACAGACGTAAAAATTGGTTACTCAGCTTCAGTACATAAAAGGGGGTGATTTTTGCTGACTTGTCATATCTTCACATTCTTTTTTTAAAAGCCTTGACTGCAATGTATTTGTTACCAATGACATTCTCGGATAACAATAGCTATATTTAAAAAAAATATTTAAATAAATATATAAGTCAGACTGCTTTGCGTGATTAGACAGGGTATATGCGCATATAATAATGATAAGAAATAAACGCGCAAAATAACTGAGGAAATAGGAATGAACCAATGAACAATTGCATCCAATTGATTGTATAAACGTAAGACAGAAAGCCCGAATGTCCTATCCTGTCATCTGGCATCTAGGTATCTTTCTTTCACAAAAATTGCGGTAGTCACTCTTATCAAACTGTTATGGTTTGTCCTTTTGTTAGTGGTTTGGTCATGAAAAATATGCCATTGTTACTGTTAAATACAGAACGGCTGCTTTTCCCAGAATTTTTATTAGGACAAAAAAAGTCGTATCTCGCGGAATCTCTGCGACCCTTCCATGGAACACCAGGGTTCCGCTGTCCTAGCACACTATTTCAACCCTTATAGAAAATCTCTATAAAATACGACTTTCATTTCACAATTCGATAAAGTAAACAAACTGGTTTGGTCATAAATGGTCGTGAAAATTTAGTTTTATTACTCTTCCCAAAGACATGCATAACTTTGCGAATATGATTTATGGGGTATTAAAAGACAATTTTGTATATACCTGATGCTACACGGGTTCATCACAGACTTTGTCTCTGTTCTATGTGATGTACATAATTATTTTCCAACTGAATTTTCAAATGTATTGTACTTATCAAAACATGTTCCATTAAACTATCTTCATTGATGTCTTTCGATTCCATCAAAACGCAAAAGTAGGATTTTCTTAGCAAAATTACTATTAGTCCCAACAAATAATCAAACAAATACACTGGATACAAAGTTTCGGAATTACCTAATAACAGTAAACAACGTTATTAAACACGTTGAAGGTTTTTGGAAACGTTTAAACAAATAACAAAATTAAAATTCCATGTTTAGGATAGCTAACGAACAGGTCACGAATTTTTTTGATTAACAAGCCGAAAAATAGCGCATATTACATACATACATAAATAATGAATTTTTTTTTTAAAAGCCTAAAGTTTATAGATTGTTATCCATTTCCTAAAATTTCTACAAGCATATCATAATTTAATATTCAGGGGTTTGGCACCCTGTAAATAACTCTCAGACCCATTGACAAATTATTTCATAGGTACTATCATACTTAGAATAAACTGAGAGAGTAGGTACAAAAAATTATTGTGGGACATAAAAAAATTTGCACTTAAAAGTAATAATTTAATATTCAGGGGTTTCGCACCCCGTAAAAAAACCCTAAGACCCGCTGACAAATTATTTCATAGGCATTATACTACATTGAACGATATTTAGATATTAAATACAAGCAATTATTGTGGGATAAGAAAAACTTTCACTGAAAAATAATAATTTAATATTGAGGGATTTCGCACCCTGTAAATAACCCTCAGAGGCATTGACAAATTATTTCATAAGCATTATCGCACTTAGAACATCTCTGAGAGTGTAGGTACAAAAAATTATTGTGGGACAAGAAAAAATATGCACTTAAAAATAGTAATTTAATATTCAGNTATTTACTATCAGAAATTGCAAAGTTTGATGTTCAAAAGGAAGGGTCTCACATATAATCTTACTTTACATATTTCGGTCCCGTCTTCTCTAAACAAAATTATCAAAATCTCACAAACAATTTTTAAAAAATATTTAAGTTACAACACTTGCAAATTTCACTACTAGAAAGTGCAAACATGAGGTACAAAAAGAAGGGTAGAGAGCATCCTCACAAATAATACTACTTTATACATCTTGTCTCCGTCTTCTTTAAACAAAAATTTGAAAAACGAATTTTGCATTATATGAAAGTAACACCTGCAATTTCTACTGCCAGAAATTGCAAAGTTTGAGGTACAAAAGAAAGGATAGAGAGCAACCCTTACGAAAAAATTGACTATACATTTTGTCCCCGTCGCCTCTAAACAAAATTATCAAAATCCGATAAACAAATTTTGAAAAATATTTAAGTTATAACAGTTGTAATTCTTAGAACTAAAAAGTGCAAAGTTTGAGGTACAAAAGGAAGGGTAGAGAGCAGCTTCAAAAATAATCTGACTTTATACATTTTGTCCCAGTTTTCCCTAAACAAAATCATCAAAATATGACAAACAAATATTGAAAATATTCAATTTATAACATGTAATTCTTATTACTGGAAGGTGCAAATTTTGAGGTGCAAAAAAAGGGTAGAGTGCACCCTCACAAATAATCTGATTTTATACATTTTGTCCCTGTCTTCCCTAAACAAAATTATCAAATATGACAAGCAATCTTTGAAACACATTCAAGTTATAACACTTGTAATTCTTAGTACTAGAAAGTGCAAAGTTTGAAGTACAAAATGAAGCGTAAAGAGCACCCTCACAAATAATCTGACTTTATACATTTTGTCCCCGTCGTCTCTAAACAAAATTATCAAAATATGACAAACAGATTTTGAAAAATATTTAAGTTATAACACTTGTAATTTAAACTATCAGTAAGTGCAAAGTTTGAGGTACAAAAGGAAGGGTAAGGCGTAGTTACAAAAAAAAAACGGAATTTACACATTTTATCTCTCATCTCGGCAAATAAAGCAATCAAAATCTAGAATAGGAATTTTGAAAAATATTTAAGTTATTACTCCTGTAATGTCCAAATGAGGGAAATGTATCGCCATCTGGTGACCATTTGCTATAATTATAAGATAACGCATATATGCTTATCTGTAACCATAATACCTACTTAATTGTTTAATTTAAATTTATTAATCAGAACTAACACAAGGTAATAAAGTCTCTTTAAAAACTTTTGGCATTGTTGGAAATAAGCAAATTGGAATTTTTTAGAACAGAACATTCTTTTGTCGACGATATCACTTTCTAATACCTCATTTATTACTATTTTTAATTCATACAGTTACTTACCAGTTCCTTGTCAGAAATTCTTTTTTTAGCAACGACACACTATCTCCGTTCCCCATGGAAAAAAGGCACTCTCACGCTTTCTTATGACTTCAGGTTGTGTTAATTTCTGGAGTGAAAAAGGACTGATACAACCAATGCTATGCAAGGGATGACATCCACAGGTTTTATAATCTTTCTGTAAAATAAAATTTTATGAGAGTATTCAGATACAATAAATTTAGCTTCTCTAGTAAATAATGTGCATAATACAATAGCATAATGTTCTCACCTTAACTAACTTCAAAATCGTCCAAAGTGAAAAATCAACAAGAAACACTACAGTAAACAATTTGCTTTTTAGTGGGTCAATTTGTACTAATGGAGAACATTAACAAATTAATTACACTATTAAATAAATAAACGTTTTTCGGTATATATATATAATGTTGGTTGGTTGTTATTCTTATCTATAGTTGTTATGATCAATGATTATAGATCATGTTATAGACAATAGATAAATCAACGGTCACGGTTTATGTCATGTTTTTTTAACATATTATTGTTGTCTATGATATTGTTGGTTATGTTTTGTTATGTTCTTAGTTTTTATGCGGTTTTTATATAATTGTAAGATAACTGAGGTAGTTGTTAATTACAGTCGTTGTATATTGTACGTTTAAACAAATATTTAGTTTTAGTCGTTGTTTAAAAAATGCATCGCAAAGTTCAAGCAGCCCTTATACAATTAGCAGTTGGGAAAAGTCGTAGCAAAAACATCGAAAACGCTAATCAAATGATTTGTGAAGCAAAGAATAAAGGTGCAAAACTTATAGCATTACCCGAGTGTTTTAATTCTCCCTACGGTACTAATTTTTTCAAAGAATATTCTGAATCCATTCCCAATGGTCCAACTTGCAAAATGCTTTCAAATGCGGCTAAAGAAAATGAAGTTTATTTAGTTGGTGGTACTATTCCAGAAGAAGACAATGGTAAAATTTATAACACTTGCACTGTCTGGGATCCAAAAGGTGAACTAATTGGAAAATATCGCAAGATAGTAAGTGCAAAGTTTGAGGTACAAAAGGAAGGGTAAAGAGCACCCTCACAAATAATCTGACTTTATACATTTTGTCCCCGTCGTCTCTAAACAAAATTATCAAAATCTGGCAAACGAATTTTGAATAGCATGCAAGTTATAACACCTGTAATTTTACTACTAGAAAGTGCAATGTTTGAAGTGCAAAAGAAAGGGTAGAGAGCATCTTTATGAATATTAAGATTTTATACATTTTGTCCACGTCATCTCTAAGCAAAATTATTAAAAGATTGGAAACAAATTTTAAATTAAATGCAAGTTATAACACCTCAACTTTCTTTCAGCAATTACAATGTTCTAGGATCAAAAAGAAGGTAAGGAGCAGTCACAAAAAAAAATTGAATTTACACATTTTATCTCCTAGCTCGACAAATAAAGCGATCAAAATTTAGAAAGGAATTTTGAAGAAAATTCAAATAATTACGCCTGCAATATCCAAATACGGGCAGTGTATCGCCATCTGGTGACCATTTATTACCACTAAACCATGTAGTATAAATTGTCTAATGGTAATGCTTTAGGTTCGAAAGGAAGGGTAGACAATAACTTTACAAAAAGTTAGACTTTATACAATTTGTCCTCATTCTCTACAATCATTATTACCACATTTTACAGACAAATTTTGAAACATATTCAACTTATAAAACTTGTAATTCTTACTACTAGAAAGTGCAAAGTTTGAGGTACAGAAGGAAGGGTAGAGAGCACCCTCACAAATAATCTGACTTTATGCATTTTGTCCCCATCCTCTAAACAAAATTATCAAAACATGACAAACAAATTTTGAAAAATATTTATGTTATAAACTTGCAATTCTTACTACTAGAAAGTATAACGTTTGAAGTGCAAAAGGAAGGGTAGAGAGCACCCTTATGAATAATATGNGTTTATTTAGTTGGTGGTACTATTCCAGAAGAAGACAATGGTAAAATTTATAACACTTGCACTGTCTGGGATCCAAAAGGTGAACTAATTGGAAAATATCGCAAGCTAGAAAGTGCAAAGTTTGAGGTACAAAAGGAAGGGTAGAGAGCACCCTCACAAATAATCTGACTTTATACATTTTGTCCCCGTCATCTCTAAACAAAATTATCAAAATATGACCAACGAATTTTGAATTATGTGCATGTTATAACAGCTCTTAATTTTCTATCAGGAATTGCAATGTTTTAGGATCAAAAAGAGGGTAAGGCGTAGTTACAAAAAAAAAACGGAATTTACACATTTTATCTCTCATCTCGGCAAATAAAGCAATCAAAATCTAGAATAGGAATTTTGAAAAATATTTAAGTTATTACTCCTGTAATGTCCAAATGAGGGAAATGTATCGCCATCTGGTGACCATTTGCTATAATTATAAGATAACGCATATATGCTTATCTGTAACCATAATACCTACTTAATTGTTTAATTTAAATTTATTAATCAGAACTAACACAAGGTAATAAAGTCTCTTTAAAAACTTTTGGCATTGTTGGAAATAAGCAAATTGGAATTTTTTAGAACAGAACGCATATCATAATTTAATATTCAGGGGTTTGGCACCCTGTAAATAACTCTCAGACCCATTGACAAATTATTTCATAGGTACTATCATACTTAGAATAAACTGAGAGAGTAGGTACAAAAAATTATTGTGGGACATAAAAAAATTTGCACTTAAAAGTAATAATTTAATATTGAAGGGTTCCGCACCCTGTAAAAAAACCCTAAGACCGGCTGACAAATTATTTCATAGGCATTATCATACTTAGAACATCTCTAAGAGTGTAGGTACAAGCAATTATTGTGGGACAAGAAAAACTTCCATTGAAAAAAAATAATTTTANATAAAGTCTCTTTAAAAACTTTTGGCATTGTTGGAAATAAGCAAATTGGAATTTTTTAGAACAGAACATTCTTTTGTCGACGATATCACTTTCTAATACCTCATTTATTACTATTTTTAATTCATACAGTTACTTACCAGTTCCTTGTCAGAAATTCTTTTTTTAGCAACGACACACTATCTCCGTTCCCCATGGAAAAAAGGCACTCTCACGCTTTCTTATGACTTCAGGTTGTGTTAATTTCTGGAGTGAAAAAGGACTGATACAACCAATGCTATGCAAGGGATGACATCCACAGGTTTTATAATCTTTCTGTAAAATAAAATTTTATGAGAGTATTCAGATACAATAAATTTAGCTTCTCTAGTAAATAATGTGCATAATACAATAGCATAATGTTCTCACCTTAACTAACTTCAAAATCGTCCAAAGTGAAAAATCAACAAGAAACACTACAGTAAACAATTTGCTTTTTAGTGGGTCAATTTGTACTAATGGAGAACATTAACAAATTAATTACACTATTAAATAAATAAACGTTTTTCGGTATATATATATAATGTTGGTTGGTTGTTATTCTTATCTATAGTTGTTATGATCAATGATTATAGATCATGTTATAGACAATAGATAAATCAACGGTCACGGTTTATGTCATGTTTTTTTAACATATTATTGTTGTCTATGATATTGTTGGTTATGTTTTGTTATGTTCTTAGTTTTTATGCGGTTTTTATATAATTGTAAGATAACTGAGGTAGTTGTTAATTACAGTCGTTGTATATTGTACGTTTAAACAAATATTTAGTTTTAGTCGTTGTTTAAAAAATGCATCGCAAAGTTCAAGCAGCCCTTATACAATTAGTAGTTGGGAAAAGTCGTAGCAAAAACATCGAAAACGCTAATCAAATGATTTGTGAAGCAAAGAATAAAGGTGCAAAACTTATAGCATTACCCGAGTGTTTTAATTCTCCCTACGGTACTAATTTTTTCAAAGAATATTCTGAATCCATTCCCAATGGTCCAACTTGCAAAATGCTTTCAAATGCGGCTAAAGAAAATGAAGTTTATTTAGTTGGTGGTACTATTCCAGAAGAAGACAATGGTAAAATTTATAACACTTGCACTGTCTGGGATCCAAAAGGTGAACTAATTGGAAAATATCGCAAGATGCATTTATTTGATATAGATATTCCTGGAGGTATAACATTTAAAGAATCTGAGATTTTAACTGCAGGGAATGACTTGCAAACATTTACTATAGACAATAATATTAAAGTTGGAATTGGAATATGTTATGATTTGAGATTTGAAGAACTGGCAAAACTATACCGAAAAAGGAATTGTGAATTACTGATATATCCTGGTGCATTTAATATGACTACAGGGCCACTTCATTGGGAACTTCTGCAGAAGGCAAGGGCTCTTGATAATCAGTTGTTTGTATTTGCCGTAAGTCCAGCAAGAGGAGATAAAGGGTATATTGCTTGGGGACATTCTCAAGTTACCAATCCATGGGGCAAAGTTATTGCTCAGGCAGGTCATACTGAAGAGATAGTTTATTGTGAACTTGATTTTGATGAATGTGACAAAATCAGACAACAAATACCAACATTTCCTCAAAGAAGAACAGACATTTATGACACTATTCTTCTAAATAAATAACACTTCTTTACTAGGTGTAAGCTATAATTGCAATATTTAAACATTGCTTTTATTGTAGAATACTATGCAATTTGTAAGTAGGAATAGATGCATGTGGATATATACCCTTACTGATGTATATTTGTATATATATATATGTATATATGTATAATTCTAATGGTCCATCTTATTATATGTACATATACAATAAAATTACGTGGTAAATAATAATTTGGACGTATCTGTATTTAATTATTTTTTAACATCTTTGTTTTAGTGTCACTTTTGAAAGATCATTCTTTCTATTAATTTTTGTCATAATTATTTGAAATAAGAGTTGAATATTTCCTGTTAGTTTATGGAAGAAATTTTGATTAGGAAAGATGGAAAAATATTCTTTCATTAGCGTAAATTATTTCAAATTTGCAAAATGCAGAGACAACTTCGAGCTGCTCTTATTCAGTTATCAGTTGGAAAAGGTCTTAGTAAAAATATCGCACACGCTTTTAAAATGATTCGTGAAGCCAAAAGTAAATGCGCACAACTTATAGTTTTACCAGAATGTTTTAATTCTCCATACGGTATAAATTTTTTTAAAGAATATTCAGAAACTATTCCAGATGGTTCTACTTGCAAAATGCTTTCAGAAGCAGCGAAGGAGTGCGACATATATCTTGTTGGTGGAACAATTCCAGAAAAAGTCGATGATAAAATTTATAACACTTGTACAGTTTGGGATCCAAAAGGCGAAATGATTTTAAAATACCGCAAATTGCATTTGTATGATGTGGACATTCCCGGGGGCATAACATTTAAAGAATCAGACATTTTGACTTCTGGAAATAAATTACAAACATTCAGTATTAGCGACAATATTAAAATTGGTATTGCTGTCTGTTACGATTTGCGATTCGAAGAGTTAGCAAAATTATACAGAATAATGAATTGCGAGTTGATAATATATCCAGGAGCTTTTAATATGACTACTGGACCAATTCATTGGGAATTATTGCAAAGGGCTAGAGCATTAGATAACCAGATGTATATATTTGGTGTCAGTCCGGCACGAAGCGAAAAAGGTTACATTGCATGGGGTCATTCTCAAGTTACAAATCCATGGGGAAAGGTTATTGTTCAAGCAGGTTACGTTGAAGAAATTATTTATTGCGATCTTGATTTTGAAGAATGTAGTACAGCAAGAAAGCAATTGCCAGTTTTTTCACACAGAAGGACGGATGTGTACAATACAATTCTTGTAAATGCCTGTCGCGATTAAATCATAAAATAAAGTAACAATTGGGTAATCCAACGATGTACTTTAGCAAAGTATTTTGATTTTCACTCATTTTTCAAATTAAAATATAAATTATTATTGGCATTCACAAAAAATAAATATCATTGTCTTGATTAAGAAAGTTCTCTAACGTTTAGCAAGTGACGATAGACGTGGACAATTTTTACAAACATATTTCTTTTATTAAATTTCTCTGAGATGTTGGTTGCAGAACTTTTATGCATTCAAATAAAGAGCCAGCATAAGAAAATTAAAGGACTGTCAATGCACCTGCAACATTTGATATTAAACCCTACAATTCAAATTTCTAATAATCATGATTCAGATAGAAACCTGCAGCTTTCAGTTTTCACTTTTGAAACATATATTAGCCCTAAATTTTACAAGAAATTCTGAACTAGATGAATCAACATTAACTAGTTTGCTCAATGTTGTATGTATGAAATATGTACATTGTAATCTAATATAAACTACCAAAAATACATAAAAGCAATAATGTAAACAACAAATGAACTACAAATAAGTTCATAGGATTGTAATAGAATCCATGACAGATTTAAAGAAATTTATTTCTAAACTGACCATTTAATGACTTGCCTATCTTTGTTGGGGGCTTTTTGAAGAGATGACTAGATATTTTTAAAATATCTTCAATCCCACTTTCTTGAAACATCTTGATAATCACCATCGGGAGCATCATAATCTGCTATTGGAGGAGTTTCAGATGGACCTTGAAGTTTAATAGGAAGTAACATAGGCTCTACCTAGAAAACCAAAATAAATATAAATTTTATATACTTAAATTATTTTTTATAGTGATTAGCTGTTTTCATACTTGTATAGCTTCTTGATACAGATCTTCAGATTCATTTTTCAATTCATTAAGTGCTTTTTGTTGGGAATACATTATTCTATCAATCATCTGAACGTCATTTAAATGCTGCTGTTGTTTGTAGCAACTCCATGCTTGAAACAATGCAGCTCTACTCTCTAGTACTTCTTCAGTAAGTTGTATAGTTCTTGCTCTTTTCCTGTAATACTGTAAATTATCATGCTTTTTAATAACTAAGGTAGTATAATGATACCTCTGCTCATCAATAAGGTATAATGGTACTTCACATTCATCTATTGGTTTTAGCTGCCTTGCATTCTTTTCTAATCTACGAATTTGTTTTTCTATTTTCTTTTTCTTTCTTTCTTCCCTTGCTCTTATTATAGCGGGATCCATTTTCTTCTTCTTTTTGAGTGGTTCAGCCCTAAAACATTAAATAAAAAATACAAACGTAAATAATCATTTCCAGAATACAAACATGAGACAAGGACTAAATTTGAAAAACTGAATTGAGGTAGTTGAAATACTTCTGAGAGGCATTGAAATCGTCTGCAAATATATCCTGAAAAGAAAAAATATTCAGTCTATTCAAATAAATGTATGTGTAATGTAAATTTTTGTACTTGCTAAATGAATTCATTATATTTACAAGGGACATTATTAAAAAACACGAAGTTGGTTACTAAAAATATTAAACGTTGAGAATTTGTTCAAATGAAAACTTATTAAAAAGATAAAATAACACACAACTGCAAAGCATTAAAAAGCAACTTTGTGGTTAATGGTCATAGATAATAGATACACAAAGGGTAATGATTATCTATGGTTAAATGTCATAGATAATATAATAATAAATTAAAACTGATGACACTACAAATGGGTGCTTTCCGGCGAAAAAAGCGTAAAGTGATTCAAAACTACAAATAAAACTGTCTAAATAAAAAAAATTAAGATTAGACTCAACAACTAGTATTTGTACTTAATACACAAACCAACTTTGCTTTCGTGTTGTTTTCTTGCTAAAAAGCACCTATAAACCCATAAACTGTTATTTGCAGCTCCGTAATTAATTTAGTAAAAATAAGGCTCTATACAAAAACTAAATAATTGCTTACAAATTAAACGATAATATGCAAATTTATTGAAGCTATAGAAAGTGGCATGGGAAACCAAGTGATGTTTAAAATAAAAAATGTAAGGATCTATTATAACTATCTCTAGATTTCGATTTCATCTTGATTTCACGTACAACTAAAGATAACCGAAACAATTATACATTATTATCTATGAATGCTTGAATTAAACTATCTATGCTTTATCAAATGAAAGGCTGATAAATGACAAATTGCGAGTGGATTCAGGAATTGTGACAACTAATTAATGGGAAGAGTATAACTTTAGTGATTAATAAATATTGTTAATAAAATACAAAGATGAATAATGCAATGGTAAGATATATATTCACAATTATAATTACTTGAGACTGCACTTAATGTAATTTATGATGTAGGGATAGACTTTGTAAGTGACGTGTTTACGTAATAGCCATTAAAAATTTTTCGTTTTGCAGAAAGTGATTAGCAGTTCTCGTGTTTTCGCCAGAAACATTACTACAACTGCTAGAAGAGAAGTCCAAGAAAGACCTTCAGCCAAATTCCAAAAACTAAAAGAAAATCAACAAAGGTTCCAGGTATAGTATCTAGTAAGTTATTTCTCCATTTACTATTAGGCTTATTACAGGTTGAAGATGGTGTCCCAGTGTATTTGAAGAAAGGTGCACCTGATAAAATGCTGTTTCAAGCAACAACAGGCTTGCTATTTGTAGGACTAGCAATGACATTCAAAACATTCTGGGACCTCTCTTTTGGTAAATCATGGGGAGCAGGAGGCTAAATAATGTAATGTTATAATACTGAACTTTTAATGTTCATTGAACTTTAATTCAGGAACTTTTTGTAGTCAACTATAATAAATTATTAATAGCTTTTGGTGTAATGAATACATCATTTGTATAATGCATCAGACCATAATAAATAATATTAATATTTTTTATTAGAGTGCAAACATAACAAGAAACATTAATAACATTCAATAGAAAACAAATTAATCTGTATGTATGTTATGTTCAATGAGTTATACCCCTTGAATTTTAACTGCCTAAACTTAAATTAAATGATTGTTCTAAAATCTGTAAATCATTTTTTCTTCATAGTAAGAAAAAATTAATATGGCAAAGACCACAGAAGTTAAATAAGAAGCTAATTAATCTGAGCAAAGTCATCGATTGTACTCTTCCTGCGCCGTTTCTAAATTATCAACAATTTCGTCAATAACTCTCATAAGTTTTTCGATATGTTCAGTTGCAGCCCTTAAATCATCTTCAAGAGATCGTGTTTCAAGTGAAGCACTTTGATCTTCTTTCAGACGATGTTCTTTAGTTATTTCAGGATCTTTATCACTTGTCTTTTGACCATTATAATTTAAAAAATCAGTTTCAATTTTAATATCCACTTCTGCATCAGCAAATTTTTCATGTATTGCTTTTTGCTTTTGGTTTGGAGGTTTATTTTTGCCTATTTTTACTTCTGAAATACCCAATACTTTGGGAATTTTTCTTTTCGGAGTTTTACTATCAGAGATGTACTCAATACCACTATGTACTTCTTCCAAAATAAGGGTTTGGATACGTTGTCTAACAGACTCTTTGTCAATTAAGTTAAAATTATATTCTATTATATCAACAATTTGAGTTGTTATTCGATTGAATGCTTCTTTGTCATTTTCTACTATGCTAATTGCTTTTTCTGATTGTTTCTCTTTTTCCGCAAGTTTTTCTTTTCTCATTTCAGCTAAATATTCTTTGCGAAAATTTTTAATTATTTGTTTAATATTCTCTTTCACTCCTTGTGATCTGTTGCCAATTTTATTATATTTTTTATCTCTCAGAGAGGAAAACGTCCTCTGAGAATTACCCTTATTTTCTGAACCGTTTTTATTTACATTCTTCGAATATTTATTTTTAGAGTCCATTTCTTTTTTTTTGCCATTTTCTTCCTTAAGTTCCCTGATAAGTTTCTTAACATTCTCTTTGACACTTAAATTTTCTACAGAACTGACTTTCTTCTCTAATAATTTCGGCTTTAATTTTTCATTTTCTACTTTGTTCTCTGTACTTTTTTTAATTGAGATACTTTGAGTTATGTCGATTTCGTCCAATTGGTAAATATTTTCTGCCTTCGATGCTTCATTATCATCATCTTCAGAATTTTCAGTGACAATATTATCGTCGTTAGAAATTACAAGGCGCATCAAATCTTTATAATTAGCTTTCCTTTCAAGTATAAAAAGAACTGGCCTGGTTTTTATTTTAACAGGTGGAATAGACAAATAATCAAAGGAAAGCTGATGAAAAGATTCAACAGAATCTAATAAGTTGTGTGTGGATAAATAAGGTTTCAAATTTGGAGAAAATTTACTCTTTGCTTCTACAATCAAGTGTGTAAACTTGAACATTTCTTCAGACCCGGGTAGCANAAATTTATAGCATTTACTTGATTCCTCATTATAGTTCAATAAAATTAAATTGTCAATATAATTAATTAACAGTACCAATTCCAAAAACAAATACAGTTAACATTGAAATATACGACTTTTTATTGCAGCTCTAACAAAATTCAAAAAGTATATTACAAATTCCTATTCTACATACAATTTATTCACAATTCATTCAAAGTTACTATTCAATAAAAAATTATGGCAATACCTTAGGACAATTCTAACTGCAAATATAAAAATGATTCAACTACGTTTTTCAAGTATTATAAAAAATATACCGTGAGAACGCTGATAGGAAATGGCCATGCTATTTATTAGGGACATTTTTTTATGGTAAAAAGCTTTCTAGGTACGGATGTAATACAAAAAACTGTGATAGGTTTTTTACTCACAACGGTTTGAAGAGCAGCTGAACGGTTGATGTTAGTTAACTTTATCGTTTCTGAAGTTCAGAATCAACTTGCAGTTTTATTAACGGTTTTTTTTCATTTAAACGTCATTTATATGTCTAAACAGTAGACACCTAGTCAAATAAATGCTAACAAAATTTTTATCAAAGACGTCCATGTATAAAACACTTGACACTGCTTTTACATCTGCTTTTGTAAATTTAATGAAGTGAAAAATGCAGATACAATATTTTTGATAAATTAATTATTTTTTGTTTAAATGTTTATTAATTCCAACAATGCACTTAATGCTATGTTTGTAAAATAACGCGCTATAAGAACCATTTATAAATATAACAGAATTGTCTCTATGCTTCATCTTTTTTATTTTAAGGGGAAACTCAAAGCTTAATATTCTACTAAAATTATTATTTAATTTCCTAAAGTACCTTTAAAACAACCGTACCGTAATTGGTTCAACATTTGCAGATCTTTCTCATTGTAATACGACCAAACTCACCACTGCTTTGAAGTTTAATTTTTTACCGAGCAGATATAAAACCGATTTCTATAATCGAGCTTTGTATTTCTACTTTTATCATTTACATAAATTACCAATTTTCGCGAATTTACTTCTATGTCCAAGACATTTTAACTGCAAAAACTAATAAACACTTTTCTCATATTTATGCAGACGATAACGTTTGTTTGATGTTTAAAAGTCAGTTCTTTGTGCGAATTATATTATTCAAAAATATCACATCTCGCAAATGATATGCTGTTTTACATCGTGTGACGTGTAAGTATATGTAGGTAGGTACCCTAATAAAGGTAGGGGTGTATAAGAGACCTATTTGCTAAGTCTCACATCTAACTCATCTACGTGTTTCTATTATACGAGTGGTCATTATCAGTCTCTCGTCTACTTATTTTGTGTTTATCATCGTGATAATATGACCAGAAAAAGTGTTTATCAATTTTTTACAGACCACAAAAATATACAGGGTGGATTACAAAAAACGCCCCAAGCCATAACTCCTTTATTTTTAATGATATGACTATATATCTTGAGACAAAGTTGCATAGTTGATTGTCATCTATATTTTGGGATAGATACTCAATCAATGCTGCTTCCTGTTTCACCGGAAGTGACATCAACTTGAGTTTTTTAAATGGAACACCCTGTTTATTTTACTATTTCTTGAATACCTTTCGTTAAATTACGTTTCAAAAAGCTCAACAATATCATATGCCAAAAATCAATGCTCAGTAAAATATTCGTCAATTAATGTAATGTCTAATAAAAACACTCAGTGAAACATTAAAACAAAGTACCTACCTACCTAGGCAGTGGAAAACATTAATTCAAACAGTGTTAACAAATGTCAATAGTTCGTTATAGAAACACTAGGAGAAAATACGAACTGTTGACATTTGTAACACTGTTTGAATTACTGTTTTCCACTGCCTAGGTAGGTAGGTACTTTGTTTTAATGTTTGACTGGAATATTATCCTGGTGAGCTTTTTGAAATGTAATTTAACGAGTGATATTCAATGAATAATAAAATGTACAGGGTGTTCCATTTAAAAAACTCAAGCTGATGCCACTGGAAGCAGCATTGATTGAGTGTCTATCCCAAAATATAGATGACAATCAATTATGCAACTTGGTTCCAAGAAGTATAGTCATATCTTTAAAAACTAAAGAGTTATGGCTTGGGACCTTTTTTGTAATCCACTCTGTATGCATACTGTTGAAATACTGTTTGATAAAGTCATGACCATTCGGTGGTTAGGTGCAGTTATTTGTATGTATATAGGAAATTAGCAGTTAAGTACTTTTAATATTTTAAGAGACTTGATACGTCTACCTTAATGGTACTGATGTGTTCGTGTGATTATGAAACTGACGCTACCTGGATACAAATACAAGCTTCTTCTCAGAAATACCGATTATATGATTATTATTATTATTATTATTATTAATAATACTTTTTACTTTAACCGTTTTAAGGGATGTTATTTGAGTAATGTCAGTTCCATTTCTTTTTTGTAAACGAGTCATAGTGGCACTATTAAATCTTATGAAGTATGTAAATAGTTGTAGAGTGTTATGTATTATAGTTGAATCATATCATATAAGAAATTTTTGCTGCTATTACCCGCCGCTTCGTTTCGTGCAGGTTTTATATATATTTCTTTTTGACTGAATTAAGGGATTCAATCATTATTTATAGTTAGTTCTTTCACAACAAATAAAATCCATTGCATTGACTGAATATTAATTAAGGATCAATAGATGTTAGAAACCTTGGCATTGCTCCTTTTAAAACAGCCTTATCAATGTCGGTGTTAAGTGTTAACAATTCGAGAACGAAGTGCACAAGAACACGTTAAAGAGTATATAATATGTAAAAACGAAAGATAAATAAATTATTTGTTTTACAATTAACAAATAATGGATCTTCAAATGATGTTATTTGTTCGAAAAACCGATTAAAAATTGTTTCCAGCTGTTTCGATTTTGAAAGTCGAAAAATAAATGCAAAAAAAATTTCGTAATGAAAAAGACTTACCTGAATTCCAAAACAGTTGCNTCAGGATCTTTATCACTTGTCTTTTGACCATTATAATTTAAAAAATCAGTTTCAATTTTAATATCCACTTCTGCATCAGCAAATTTTTCATGTATTGCTTTTTGCTTTTGGTTTGGAGGTTTATTTTTGCCTATTTTTACTTCTGAAATACCCAATACTTTGGGAATTTTTCTTTTCGGAGTTTTACTATCAGAGATGTACTCAATACCACTATGTACTTCTTCCAAAATAAGGGTTTGGATACGTTGTCTAACAGACTCTTTGTCAATTAAGTTAAAATTATATTCTATTATATCAACAATTTGAGTTGTTATTCGATTGAATGCTTCTTTGTCATTTTCTACTATGCTAATTGCTTTTTCTGATTGTTTCTCTTTTTCCGCAAGTTTTTCTTTTCTCATTTCAGCTAAATATTCTTTGCGAAAATTTTTAATTATTTGTTTAATATTCTCTTTCACTCCTTGTGATCTGTTGCCAATTTTATTATATTTTTTATCTCTCAGAGAGGAAAACGTCCTCTGAGAATTACCCTTATTTTCTGAACCGTTTTTATTTACATTCTTCGAATATTTATTTTTAGAGTCCATTTCTTTTTTTTTGCCATTTTCTTCCTTAAGTTCCCTGATAAGTTTCTTAACATTCTCTTTGACACTTAAATTTTCTACAGAACTGACTTTCTTCTCTAATAATTTCGGCTTTAATTTTTCATTTTCTACTTTGTTCTCTGTACTTTTTTTAATTGAGATACTTTGAGTTATGTCGATTTCGTCCAATTGGTAAATATTTTCTGCCTTCGATGCTTCATTATCATCATCTTCAGAATTTTCAGTGACAATATTATCGTCGTTAGAAATTACAAGGCGCATCAAATCTTTATAATTAGCTTTCCTTTCAAGTATAAAAAGAACTGGCCTGGTTTTTATTTTAACAGGTGGAATAGACAAATAATCAAAGGAAAGCTGATGAAAAGATTCAACAGAATCTAATAAGTTGTGTGTGGATAAATAAGGTTTCAAATTTGGAGAAAATTTACTCTTTGCTTCTACAATCAAGTGTGTAAACTTGAACATTTCTTCAGACCCGGGTAGCAAATTTTCCGTTTTGTTATATCTAAAAAATATGAAATTTTTGTGTATCCCTTTTAAATAAGTTTTGGCACTTACATCCAGTGTGGATTTATTTGAGTAAATCGCGAGACCCCTGTTTGTGCAGCTAAGTTTGCAATATGAACATGCACACTGCTTTCTTCATTGGCAAGTCGGTGTAATTTGGATATTGCCACGCCTCCAGGATAATTTGTACTGGATATACTTATTAAAAATAACGTGAAAAGAACATTAACAATCAAATGACCGCTAATTCCCAAGGAAACAAAATAATTATATGGGCTTTTATCACGATTTTCCCACCTTAAAAAAAAATACGCAAAATAATCCGGACATTTTTCTAAAAGCGAAATACTTACAAACGGTGACAGGCTGTAGCAACTGCAATGTTTAAAATCGGAAAAATATAAATTATAAATCGAAGTTCTTTGTGTGGTAGTAACGAATAAATCAACACAAATAGTATTGCTGGAAGAACGATGTATCGAATTCTTTGATCCAAGTACAAGCCAATTGGAACAAGGAAAACGGAAGCAGCTAAGCCACGAGGTATTGCAGAATAAAAATACCACAAAAATGGTGATGTCTGATTAAAATTAAGAAAACTGAATTATACTATTAATTTCAATGGACCATAGTTATGACTTTCAGAAAATTATTATTATACATTTCACTGAAAGTATTTTTTGTATTTTATAATTTATCCGGCATATTTTTACATTACAGCAGAGAGAGTAGACCGATTGCTGTTGATTAAGATAATCGAAAATCTGAACAACTGAATATTAGGAAAAAAGTTACTTGATTGCTTCAAATGGATTAAACTAATTATAATTAAACAAAACAAGCAACTTTTGTTAATAATCTAAGCGCAGTTACAAATACGAATAACAGCAAAGGTACAAATTGTCGAGTCTTCCACATATTTTCAAAGATGGATTGTTTTAACTTTGTTATTTTAAATTGAAAACCTTGCGTTTTCTAGCATTGTTGAATTCATTTAAAATTTAAGTTAAATTTTTCTTGGGTTCAGGATTTATCGTTTCGTAACTATATGATGTTTTTTATTAGTTGCAAAACTTTTGAAAATTACTAAAAACGTTAAAACTGATAGTATGTGAAATGGAATATTATGGTTTTGAACACTGCATTTAGAACGAATCAGTGTAATTTATATTTCAAAGATTTTAAAATGTGGCCGTTTTGAGATTCCACAATATTCAACATATTTCAATAACTGCTGATAAAAACTACGACAAATAAAAATATTATTGCATGAAAAGGATACTCCATAGTCTGAGCTTTTGTTTAGAATTGTATTGAACCAAAGCACTTCCCCTTCTGCCCAAAGAAGACGACCCCAAAAAACGGAGTCAATAATAATCGTAATTACTAGTAAGCATACTCCTGTGGGTATTCCAATTTGGAGCAATCTAACAAAAATGTAACGTTAAGTGGCGCGAAATGTAATATAATTAATAAATTAATATCACTGACCTTCTGATCGTAATTCGTTTATAATATAAGTCGTATAAAAGCAATAAACCTAAATATAACATTACATCGAATCGGAATATAATTATTGCAGCACCAGAAAATATAATAAACAGCTTCGAATTATTTTCTAGCCAACTACTCACAGCCAAGAGAACTGCAAAAAGATACAGATGAAAAATGTTGTTTTTCTTATTATTACCTTAATATTAAATTGAGCTCCATTAGAGGTATTAGTTATTGTAATTTCTTTTGCATACATTCTATAAATATATAGAAATAAACTTGTTCATACAAAAATCTAAAGTGTTAAACATTAGAGAAAAGGGAAAAAGAAAAAGCAAATTTGCAAAAAAAAATTAAGACTGAATACCTTCTCACCTAGGGGTAAAGCAAAAATATTAGGAAGCGGACGACTTAAATAAAACATAAAATGTGACTGTGTTACTGTAACAGCAATAAACCATTGGACCCATTGTGTACCAAAAAATTTTTGAAGGGATGAAATTAGGACTCTAAATGCACCAATGACAGAAATACCTAAGGCGGCTCTAACTGAAAATAAACATCTTATTTAGGAATTTTGTACAACAACTTGAACATTACCCAAGTATTGAGCCCAAAATTTATTTAATTGGAAATATTGAATTAAAGCTGCAATGGGAGACACTAGAATAGAAATAAAAATTGGTCCTATAAATGACCGAGGTACAACACCAGGAAATTCATTGTGATCATACTAAAAAAAGAGCGTTCTAGTTTTCTACATTTAACAGAAATAGAATAAATCATTTTTATACCTGCGATAAGTTGGTTCGGAAGTATAAAATGTCGTGAATTGCTTGAAGATTGAAACTTTCTTCGACTTTTGTAAAGGGACAAAATATCAAATGTGCAGCTGCGACGATCACCATTATTTGTGGCATTTTAGTTAATTTACTTAGAACTATTTCCTTTTATTTTGAACAAAAGCCGAAAATAGATTTCAACTAACCTAAAAATATTTCAAGTTTTCTAAACTGACGTTTATGTGACGTAACGTGTAATTAATATTACGAAACTAATATACAATACCCACAGATGTAAAGCAGTGACGGCGCTACAGTTTAGAAAAAGGGTTACCATAAATTTAAATACAGAATACAAGTTTGAGTTAACGCTTTCTATTTTATTACTGCATTAGATTAAGTATAACAATTCAAAAATTAATAATTTAAAACTGGGTATAAAAGGTTATGGACGCAAAGAATTGTTTCCTTTTTGATCCTCGATTATAACAGTGTTCTAAAATAAATGTGAATTAAAAGAAACAATGATTTAATGTATTAGCATCTAGTTTACCATCCACTCCCAAAATGCAGCTTCTTTTTTCAGCCACTGGTCGTGGTTATCTAACATTTGGATGATTTCTTTTGTGTTATTTAAAAATAACCTTGCATATTCCATATCATTTAGCGCTCTTAACTGAGATAAACACAAATTGAAATTAAAAGTACTAATTTTATCCAGCTGAAATATTTTTCTTAATAAATTATTTAATAGATGAATTGACATTAAAAATCTAAGAATAAAACACACGTATAAATGCAAAAGAGAAACGTTTAAAAAGACCTTAAAAAGAGAGCGAATTGGCTCTGCTTTTAGTTTTTCTTAATTTTTGAAAATAATCAGCAGCCAGAGTTGCAGTACCCAATTTGTATGCTTTCTCTTTCCACGTTAATAGTGCTTCTTTCGTAGCGATCTATGCTTTAAGTCTATATTGTATTTACCTTTTCTAAAACATTATTTATAGAAAGTTCGTACTCCTTGGCAACTGTTTTGTTGTAATTTGCTTTTCCCTTAATCCACTCTATACTGTTGGCGAGGTCGTTTTCATCTTTCAAAGCATTCAGAGAAAAATTAATGTCATTTTTGGAGTCACGTAACGTCGAATCAATATGAAACAGACTTTTTTGGCATTTCTTTTTAACAATCCTATCAAGTTCTCCCTTTGATATAATGAAAGCTAAAGCAAATAAAAGTTCTCTAGCATTAGTAGTGTTTAAATCAAGATCATAAAATTTTGATCTAGTGTAACCAAGTTTGTTTAAAAAATCTTTGATTTTATTAGTTTCGTTATCAAATTCACAATTTCCAAGAGCAGATAGGACGTTCCAGAACTGTTCAATCTTTTATAAATATCATGTACATAAAAATAATGTTGTTAGATTTTATTCTATTGTTTTATGCAACTATTTACACTTTTTTCTTCACATTTATTGAATTTAGCTTGGCGAAATGTTTCAGATTTAAGTTCCAGATCATACAGAAAATTCAAATGTTTACAAAGCACTGCAACAGTATGTTTGACGATTGCCATTTAACGTAGAACCGTTGCTCGATTAAAATAAATAACTACAAGAAATGAAAATTTATAGTATTTACTTGATTCCTCATTATAGTTCAATAAAATTAAATTGTCAATATAATTAATTAACAGTACCAATTCCAAAAACAAATACAGTTAACATTGAAATATACGACTTTTTATTGCAGCTCTAACAAAATTCAAAAAGTATATTACAAATTCCTATTCTACATACAATTTATTCACAATTCATTCAAAGTTACTATTCAATAAAAAATTATGGCAATACCTTAGGACAATTCTAACTGCAAATATAAAAATGATTCAACTACGTTTTTCAAGTATTATAAAAAATATACCGTGAGAACGCTGATAGGAAATGGCCATGCTATTTATTAGGGACATTTTTTTATGGTAAAAAGCTTTCTAGGTACGGATGTAATACAAAAAACTGTGATAGGTTTTTTACTCACAACGGTTTGAAGAGCAGCTGAACGGTTGATGTTAGTTAACTTTATCGTTTCTGAAGTTCAGAATCAACTTGCAGTTTTATTAACGGTTTTTTTTCATTTAAACGTCATTTATATGTCTAAACAGTAGACACCTAGTCAAATAAATGCTAACAAAATTTTTATCAAAGACGTCCATGTATAAAACACTTGACACTGCTTTTACATCTGCTTTTGTAAATTTAATGAAGTGAAAAATGCAGATACAATATTTTTGATAAATTAATTATTTTTTGTTTAAATGTTTATTAATTCCAACAATGCACTTAATGCTATGTTTGTAAAATAACGCGCTATAAGAACCATTTATAAATATAACAGAATTGTCTCTATGCTTCATCTTTTTTTTTTTAAGGGGAAACTCAAAGCTTAATATTCTACTAAAATTATTATTTAATTTCCTAAAGTACCTTTAAAACAACCGTACCGTAATTGGTTCAACATTTGCAGATCTTTCTCATTGTAATACGACCAAACTCACCACTGCTTTGAAGTTTAATTTTTTACCGAGCAGATATAAAACCGATTTCTATAATCGAGCTTTGTATTTCTACTTTTATCATTTACATAAATTACCAATTTTCGCGAATTTACTTCTATGTCCAAGACATTTTAACTGCAAAAACTAATAAACACTTTTCTCATATTTATGCAGACGATAACGTTTGTTTGATGTTTAAAAGTCAGTTCTTTGTGCGAATTATATTATTCAAAAATATCACATCTCGCAAATGATATGCTGTTTTACATCGTGTGACGTGTAAGTATATGTAGGTAGGTACCCTAATAAAGGTAGGGGTGTATAAGAGACCTATTTGCTAAGTCTCACATCTAACTCATCTACGTGTTTCTATTATACGAGTGGTCATTATCAGTCTCTCGTCTACTTATTTTGTGTTTATCATCGTGATAATATGACCAGAAAAAGTGTTTATCAATTTTTTACAGACCACAAAAATATACAGGGTGGATTACAAAAAACGCCCCAAGCCATAACTCCTTTATTTTTAATGATATGACTATATATCTTGAGACAAAGTTGCATAGTTGATTGTCATCTATATTTTGGGATAGATACTCAATCAATGCTGCTTCCTGTTTCACCGGAAGTGACATCAACTTGAGTTTTTTAAATGGAACACCCTGTTTATTTTACTATTTCTTGAATACCTTTCGTTAAATTACGTTTCAAAAAGCTCAACAATATCATATGCCAAAAATCAATGCTCAGTAAAATATTCGTCAATTAATGTAATGTCTAATAAAAACACTCAGTGAAACATTAAAACAAAGTACCTACCTACCTAGGCAGTGGAAAACATTAATTCAAACAGTGTTAACAAATGTCAATAGTTCGTTATAGAAACACTAGGAGAAAATACGAACTGTTGACATTTGTAACACTGTTTGAATTACTGTTTTCCACTGCCTAGGTAGGTAGGTACTTTGTTTTAATGTTTGACTGGAATATTATCCTGGTGAGCTTTTTGAAATGTAATTTAACGAGTGATATTCAATGAATAATAAAATGTACAGGGTGTTCCATTTAAAAAACTCAAGNAAGAACCTCACTCACATCTTTTGGGATATAGAAACCAATTTTCTGTTCTTAAAATTTAGGGAGCTAACGGTTCTTCTTGCCCTAAAATATGATCAGTGAGTATTAAAAACTCTGCTTCTTATTTAACCTGTTGTGTTTTCTGAAAAGGGGGATATGTCAGTACTGTTAAGAAATCTACGCACTATTCCGCATGTATCAAGGATTACCGATTTCTGTAGACTTATGTACGTAAACTTAGGCAGTTTCAACTCGGCTAGGCTAGCGTGTAATGTTTTAGGTATAACGCCTAATGATTATTATTATTATTATTATTATTAATAATACTTTTTACTTTAACCGTTTTAAGGGATGTTATTTGAGTAATGTCAGTTCCATTTCTTTTTTGTAAACGAGTCATAGTGGCACTATTAAATCTTATGAAGTATGTAAATAGTTGTAGAGTGTTATGTATTATAGTTGAATCATATCATATAAGAAATTTTTGCTGCTATTACCCGCCGCTTCGTTTCGTGCAGGTTTTATATATATTTCTTTTTGACTGAATTAAGGGATTCAATCATTATTTATAGTTAGTTCTTTCACAACAAATAAAATCCATTGCATTGACTGAATATTAATTAAGGATCAATAGATGTTAGAAACCTTGGCATTGCTCCTTTTAAAACAGCCTTATCAATGTCGGTGTTAAGTGTTAACAATTCGAGAACGAAGTGCACAAGAACACGTTAAAGAGTATATAATATGTAAAAACGAAAGATAAATAAATTATTTGTTTTACAATTAACAAATAATGGATCTTCAAATGATGTTATTTGTTCGAAAAACCGATTAAAAATTGTTTCCAGCTGTTTCGATTTTGAAAGTCGAAAAATAAATGCAAAAAAAATTTCGTAATGAAAAAGACTTACCTGAATTCCAAAACAGTTGCTTAAGTATCATTGAAACTAAAAGATCGATAACATCATCATTTGAAGAGTTCTGCAATAACGCGCTTCACTGTTCCTGTTTGTTCAACGTTTGAAAATGCGGCCTTATAATATCGTTATCATTAAAACAGCTTAAAATCCTACACCTTCAACAACAAAACAGTACATAAACTTATTAGTTCACTTTTGCATACGGGAATGGCTCGGAGTCATTTCGATCAACTAACCTTTTTACACGTACCACTCTTTGATATCTTTACTGTCTCTCTTTTTGTTCGACTTTTGCATCTGTCCTCTGGTCTCCCCATTCCTGAGGGCACCGTTCAACTGGTAGGGCGTTTGTTCGTTGGCGCTTCCGTTGTTTCCGAGCAGGGCTGTGCTGGGCCCGTGCTGGTAGCCCCCTTTACCGTCGTCCACTTTGTATGACCTGTCGCCACGCGATTTGAATTTAAGAATCACGAGTATAATGAGGATGACAGCTATGAGAGCTCCGGCGATGATGCCAATGATGAGAGCCACCGCTTCCGACATTTCCGAATGGACTCTTTCCGTTGGCTTCTTCCTCGGAGGCTTTGTGGTGACGAAGGGAAACTCGTCGTGTCTTGTGGGGGGAGTGTCTGGAATTTTGTGCGTCATGGTGGTAGTTGTAGTGGTCTGATCGGATGATGTGGAGGAACTCGTGGTGATACTGCTGCTTGAGCCGTCTGGATAAGCTGTGTCGGCGTCTGTGCTGATTGTGCTGTGACTTTCGGTTTTGCGGGTATTTTCCGAGGAACTTGAAACTCCGGTACTTCCCCCCTCGGAAGTATAAGTTGACGAGCCGTCTGTTCCTTGATGAGTCGAGGTCTCCGTAACGTTTAAACCAGATACTTCGGCTAGACAAACATATCAATAAACATCTTAACAATTGCATTAATGCGTTTTAGAAAATACTACAAATGGCGCAGCAAACGCCATCTGTAGCACGATGCTACATTTTAGGATTACGTATGCTCCAACAAGGTCCACTTGTGTGGATATTTATTTGCTGAAAAGGAATCCCGGCGTAGTCCCAGTGGACTTTGTTGGAGCATACGTAATCCTAAAATGTAGCATCGTGCTACAGATGGCGTTTACTGCGCCATTTGTAGTATTTTCTAAAACGCACTGTTAAGACAGCAGGTAAAAGTAGGTCTGTGTTCTGTCGGAGCGGCCTGCGACGCGCCGATGAGATCCAAAAAGATCGAAATCGCGATCCGCGTCCGGCAGTTTCGACAGAATACAGACCACTTCGAATTATTTTAATTGAATTAAAATTTCTTCTCACCGGATGTTCCTTTAGATGAAGTACTTGGGGGCTCTTCTGTTATTTCTCCTGAAGCTGATCCGCACTCTTCGTCGTCACAGGGTTCTGGCTCATTAGGATTTGGAGGGAGCTTAGTGGTAGGAGGAGGTTTAGTAGGCGGAATAAACACCGGGGTTATCAAGTCGTCGGTTCCACCGCTGTCCGGCAGTGGTGGACACTCATCCTCGTCATCCCCGTTGTTACATCCCGAACCAGAACCGCTTAAGACCAAGTCATCCATTACACCGGAAAATCCAGAGGCAGGAGTCTGTCGAAAATAAAACATTAAAAATGTTCAATAATCAATAACGTCTCTGTACAGATTGACCAGTAGTTTTGTTGAAATAAATTGCATTATAATCATGTACCTGTTGCATTTTGTGAAGGTCATTGGTATCTATATGTCTCTCTAGGATATTGGAAATGAGTTGAACGTCACCTCTTGTGAAAGTGTGCACGTCTTTAGCGGCAGCCAAGTCTAAGATTCGAATACCGTTCACTACCACTCCAGCAATAATTCCCGTGAAGGGTCTCTCGATGCGTGACTTCCCAGGACTCCATTTACCGCCGATTTGAATCTGTGATTGACTATTAAAAACTTGCAATTGATCACCTAAAATTAATATTTAATTTTGAGCGATGATCTCTCGTACAATTTCGGCAATCAAGTTTATGAACTCACCCGAAGGAGCTACGTACTGTACGTTGTAATCGTCGACTTGGAGAGTGGCATTCGATCCGAAACGTCTAAATTTAACTACGTGATATGCATTGTCGTTAACCTTAAACGAAATTTCTCCTACGGGGTGGTCATGAGTACCTAAGTTGTATACCATAAAGACGTTTCCGTCAACCTATTTTCAAATGAAATATTATTTTCTACTAAATTAAAGAATAAAAATAAAAAAGATTTTCTTACAATTTCCAGTTCTATGTAGTCCGTAGAGGTTCCACTAACCAATCGCAGCAAAACCGCGTCGGATTTTGATGTGATAAAACCCAAAGCAATGGCGTCATCTTGCATTTCCGGACGACGATCTTCCGGAAAAGTGTACGTTATTATACCCCTATTGGGCCCAAATTCGTAGGCTATCGATTCTGTGAATATATGCAAACTGTATCTATTGCTGTTCATTTGTAATAACGTAAAACTTACCATCAGAACAGTTAGGACCTGTAAACGAAGTCATATCACAATCGCACGTGTACGATGGCCACTGCTGAACGCAAACCCCTCCGTTTGCGCAAAAGTTACGATCACATTTCGAAGATTGACCTGGCAAAACGGAACACATTGTTCACGTGTATATATCATAACATTGTAAAATAACAATTAACAGTACAATCAATTTGAAACGAGTGTATGTGTTTATATAATCGATTTCATGAAAACAGTTTCAAGGATTTCGACAAAATTCACAAGATGGAACTACTCTAGCTTCGGGAAAAATCGGAGAGCCTGACTTTTAATAGAAAGAATGAAAGAAGTTCTGCCAACGTAATAACTTATACTTTAATAACAACAAATTCACAGAAAAAAGTTATTTGAATCGAAAATTCTATTTATATTGAAACTAGACTTATGTGTGACAAGAAGGGACCACTTACTTTCACAGCCAGCAGTAACTTCTGAACTGTGTATCACCGCATCCTCCATAATGTTAGGCGATTCACCATTCAAATCTAAACCTGCGATGCATCCTTCAAACCCTAATTTTGATTTTACGTCACCTTGAGGGAGTTGAGAATAGAGATCCCTGTGCACACCTCCAACGTACAGTATTCCATCTAACTCGAGATGACCCGTGCCTTGATTGGCTGCTACCTGTTGTTTATTTGAAGCAATAAAAATATTATTACCTACTAACTTCCAAAATTTATAAGGAAAAGAATACCAGTCCTGTTGAATTCTGGATTTTTTGAAGTGAAACTTCTTTACGCACGGTAGGGTAAGTTCGTTTCATGCGAGTTGCTATGTAACGAAATCTTGCAACGCATTTCCCCCGCTGTCTGTCCCTATGTATGCTTAGATCTTTAAAAATACGCAACGGATTTTAATGTGTTTTTTTTAATAGATATAGTAATTCAAGAGGAAGGTTTTTATATATAACACATGCATAATATATTAGAGAAACACTGATACTTTTAGAGGTTTGTAATGTGATGTAAATAAACACATTTTTTTGCGCTTACATTGCAAACGCTGGCTGAACCCTACGAGATAGATCAAAATAATATATTACAGTATTGTACACCTTAAAAAGGTCTACAAAAAAGTCCGGGATGGTATATGTCTATCTCTTAGGGATAACCCACAATAACAATTTTTTATCCTTTACTTTTTACGAGAAATATTTACGAAGCGATTATAAGCAATACAGTATTAATCCTTATCCAATTAAGTACTATTAAATACATTGTGCATTTAATAGAGAACAATATGGCCCTTTACAGCATGTAATTTAAATGAATTTCGAACATATTACAGACTTAAAATGCAGGGACATAGCGGTTGCGGCGATACCGGCCGATTTGTATTGTCAACTGACAAAAAAGCTGTGATTATTGTATATGAAGACATTCTATAGTATATTTACTATCAGCATTGCACCCGTGCGAAGCATAGTGTACAAATAATACCATTAAACCAATTCCCTAACCCCTATCTCGGTATGTTTGTGTGTTTGAAGAAGTTTCACTTCCGTAGCGTGTTGTATAATTACACGTTGGATTTTTTTTGTGAATAAAATATTACTGGCTTACCACAACATCGTCGTCTACCATGAGAGTGTGCTGTTTAAGAGAAGGCCTCCTAATACCAACGGTGTGCCAATGATTGTCGTTAAGAGGAGTTTTAGAGGCATCTTTCAGTTTAATTGCTCCTTCGCCGACATTCAGTACGTAGTGGATATGTCCGTTAACTAGCTCTATAGCTATAAAGTCGTCTTTCTTTCCACCGTTGAACAGAATCAATCCATTTGCATGTTTTGTTTTAAAAAGGAAATCAACGTGAATACTGGAGTATGCTCGCAGCATGGGCAGTCCTGAAGGACCAGAAAATCTGACCGTTAGTAGAGCGAAGAAAAGCTATTGAGACACTCTATCCATAGATCGATAGAGTATGTGCTGACTAACTTTAGAAACTTTCAAATGAAAACTTAATCACATATTCCCAAAACAATTCTTCTGTTTCCTATTTGTTTTTCAATTTTAAAACTTTGTCAGGTTGCTATTGGTTAGAATTGATTTATTTACGAAATATTTTAGGTACTAGAAGTTTCACTGGCTTGCAGACTATTGAAGAAAAATGTTTTATCTTTATGATAAATTTTTCGGTAAATCAAAATTCAAGCTAGAAATTATCGCAAAATAGATAATTATAATTTACTATGTACATTGTACATCTATATAGAAAANACTAGAATAGAAATAAAAATTGGTCCTATAAATGACCGAGGTACAACACCAGGAAATTCATTGTGATCATACTAAAAAAAGAGCGTTCTAGTTTTCTACATTTAACAGAAATAGAATAAATCATTTTTATACCTGCGATAAGTTGGTTCGGAAGTATAAAATGTCGTGAATTGCTTGAAGATTGAAACTTTCTTCGACTTTTGTAAAGGGACAAAATATCAAATGTGCAGCTGCGACGATCACCATTATTTGTGGCATTTTAGTTAATTTACTTAGAACTATTTCCTTTTATTTTGAACAAAAGCCGAAAATAGATTTCAACTAACCTAAAAATATTTCAAGTTTTCTAAACTGACGTTTATGTGACGTAACGTGTAATTAATATTACGAAACTAATATACAATACCCACAGATGTAAAGCAGTGACGGCGCTACAGTTTAGAAAAAGGGTTACCATAAATTTAAATACAGAATACAAGTTTGAGTTAACGCTTTCTATTTTATTACTGCATTAGATTAAGTATAACAATTCAAAAATTAATAATTTAAAACTGGGTATAAAAGGTTATGGACGCAAAGAATTGTTTCCTTTTTGATCCTCGATTATAACAGTGTTCTAAAATAAATGTGAATTAAAAGAAACAATGATTTAATGTATTAGCATCTAGTTTACCATCCACTCCCAAAATGCAGCTTCTTTTTTCAGCCACTGGTCGTGGTTATCTAACATTTGGATGATTTCTTTTGTGTTATTTAAAAATAACCTTGCATATTCCATATCATTTAGCGCTCTTAACTGAGATAAACACAAATTGAAATTAAAAGTACTAATTTTATCCAGCTGAAATATTTTTCTTAATAAATTATTTAATAGATGAATTGACATTAAAAATCTAAGAATAAAACACACGTATAAATGCAAAAGAGAAACGTTTAAAAAGACCTTAAAAAGAGAGCGAATTGGCTCTGCTTTTAGTTTTTCTTAATTTTTGAAAATAATCAGCAGCCAGAGTTGCAGTACCCAATTTGTATGCTTTCTCTTTCCACGTTAATAGTGCTTCTTTCGTAGCGATCTATGCTTTAAGTCTATATTGTATTTACCTTTTCTAAAACATTATTTATAGAAAGTTCGTACTCCTTGGCAACTGTTTTGTTGTAATTTGCTTTTCCCTTAATCCACTCTATACTGTTGGCGAGGTCGTTTTCATCTTTCAAAGCATTCAGAGAAAAATTAATGTCATTTTTGGAGTCACGTAACGTCGAATCAATATGAAACAGACTTTTTTGGCATTTCTTTTTAACAATCCTATCAAGTTCTCCCTTTGATATAATGAAAGCTAAAGCAAATAAAAGTTCTCTAGCATTAGTAGTGTTTAAATCAAGATCATAAAATTTTGATCTAGTGTAACCAAGTTTGTTTAAAAAATCTTTGATTTTATTAGTTTCGTTATCAAATTCACAATTTCCAAGAGCAGATAGGACGTTCCAGAACTGTTCAATCTTTTATAAATATCATGTACATAAAAATAATGTTGTTAGATTTTATTCTATTGTTTTATGCAACTATTTACACTTTTTTCTTCACATTTATTGAATTTAGCTTGGCGAAATGTTTCAGATTTAAGTTCCAGATCATACAGAAAATTCAAATGTTTACAAAGCACTGCAACAGTATGTTTGACGATTGCCATTTAACGTAGAACCGTTGCTCGATTAAAATAAATAACTACAAGAAATGAAAATTTATAGTATTTACTTGATTCCTCATTATAGTTCAATAAAATTAAATTGTCAATATAATTAATTAACAGTACCAATTCCAAAAACAAATACAGTTAACATTGAAATATACGACTTTTTATTGCAGCTCTAACAAAATTCAAAAAGTATATTACAAATTCCTATTCTACATACAATTTATTCACAATTCATTCAAAGTTACTATTCAATAAAAAATTATGGCAATACCTTAGGACAATTCTAACTGCAAATATAAAAATGATTCAACTACGTTTTTCAAGTATTATAAAAAATATACCGTGAGAACGCTGATAGGAAATGGCCATGCTATTTATTAGGGACATTTTTTTATGGTAAAAAGCTTTCTAGGTACGGATGTAATACAAAAAACTGTGATAGGTTTTTTACTCACAACGGTTTGAAGAGCAGCTGAACGGTTGATGTTAGTTAACTTTATCGTTTCTGAAGTTCAGAATCAACTTGCAGTTTTATTAACGGTTTTTTTTCATTTAAACGTCATTTATATGTCTAAACAGTAGACACCTAGTCAAATAAATGCTAACAAAATTTTTATCAAAGACGTCCATGTATAAAACACTTGACACTGCTTTTACATCTGCTTTTGTAAATTTAATGAAGTGAAAAATGCAGATACAATATTTTTGATAAATTAATTATTTTTTGTTTAAATGTTTATTAATTCCAACGATTGTAATAGAATCCATGACAGATTTAAAGAAATTTATTTCTAAACTGACCATTTAATGACTTGCCTATCTTTGTTGGGGGCTTTTTGAAGAGATGACTAGATATTTTTAAAATATCTTCAATCCCACTTTCTTGAAACATCTTGATAATCACCATCGGGAGCATCATAATCTGCTATTGGAGGAGTTTCAGATGGACCTTGAAGTTTAATAGGAAGTAACATAGGCTCTACCTAGAAAACCAAAATAAATATAAATTTTATATACTTAAATTATTTTTTATAGTGATTAGCTGTTTTCATACTTGTATAGCTTCTTGATACAGATCTTCAGATTCATTTTTCAATTCATTAAGTGCTTTTTGTTGGGAATACATTATTCTATCAATCATCTGAACGTCATTTAAATGCTGCTGTTGTTTGTAGCAACTCCATGCTTGAAACAATGCAGCTCTACTCTCTAGTACTTCTTCAGTAAGTTGTATAGTTCTTGCTCTTTTCCTGTAATACTGTAAATTATCATGCTTTTTAATAACTAAGGTAGTATAATGATACCTCTGCTCATCAATAAGGTATAATGGTACTTCACATTCATCTATTGGTTTTAGCTGCCTTGCATTCTTTTCTAATCTACGAATTTGTTTTTCTATTTTCTTTTTCTTTCTTTCTTCCCTTGCTCTTATTATAGCGGGATCCATTTTCTTCTTCTTTTTGAGTGGTTCAGCCCTAAAACATTAAATAAAAAATACAAACGTAAATAATCATTTCCAGAATACAAACATGAGACAAGGACTAAATTTGAAAAACTGAATTGAGGTAGTTGAAATACTTCTGAGAGGCATTGAAATCGTCTGCAAATATATCCTGAAAAGAAAAAATATTCAGTCTATTCAAATAAATGTATGTGTAATGTAAATTTTTGTACTTGCTAAATGAATTCATTATATTTACAAGGGACATTATTAAAAAACACGAAGTTGGTTACTAAAAATATTAAACGTTGAGAATTTGTTCAAATGAAAAC